CTGACCTCCTCCCTACACAACCGGGCCGTTTCCCTGTATTCTTCCTAGGACACCTGTCCCTGCTTCCGCTGCCTGTGCAGTTCCCTCTTACTCTTTAGTTTGACCAGCAGGTTTTGACTCAGCCATGCTGGTCTCTTCCCTTCCTTGCCTGATTTCTTACACTTGGGGACTGAGAGCTCTTGTGCTCTATGGAAGGTGTCCTTAAAGACCTGCCAGCTCTGTTCCGTTCCCCTGTCCCTGAGGACCGTTTCCCAGGGGGTCCTTCTGACTAACTCCTTGGAGAGCTGGAAGTTTGCTCTCCTAAAATTTAGGGTCCTGACTATACTCCTCGCTTTTCCCATGTCCCCCAGAAGCGTGAACTCCACCAACGCGTGATCACTGCAGCCCAAGCTGCCTCCAGTCGTGATGTCACCGATGAGCTCACTTGCATTGGTGACCATCAGATCCAGTATTGCATCCCCTCGGGTAGGGGTGTCTATTACCTGGCTTAGGAAGTTGTCGTCTATGCATTCCAGGAATCTCCTGGATTGCCTACAGCTCACCGTGTTGCTTTTACAGCAAATGTCAGGGTGGTTGAAGTCCCCCAGCAGGACAAGAGTCTGCAAGTGCGAATCCTCCTGGAGCTGGAGGAAGAAGGCTTCGTCAGTAGGTTCCCCTTGATCAGGCGGCCTGTAGTAGACACCAACCGCATACTACTTCATCTATAAACAGAAAGATTTGCCTCTTTGGTTAACTTTTGTGGCTTTATTGCTAGTGAAATTTTTCCTGTTTGTACAAAACATACCCATACGTTGGAGAATTTAAATGTAACAGATTGTTCCCTTGCCGCTCATATTTTTAATGATGAGATCATAGTAAATTCCCAAGCAATAGACTGCAGTGTTGGAAGTGCAAAGTTAGAGTATTTAACAAAGTCAGATAAGAATATACACTATTTTTAAGCTGTTTGTCTTTCACCTATAAAAGCAAGGACAACATCTACATGTTGTTTTGGGGGCTTTTTAAGTATAATATTTTCTTTAAAATTAATAAGGCTAGCAGTTTGTCTAGGTTTTTTCAAGGTCAACATTGAAACTGTGGAGTATTTCCCAACTTTGCTCTTGTAGAGTAACGGGAAAAATAGATTTTCATTATATTTGACCCACTATCTATTTATTGTAAGACTTAAAAGTACAATTCCTTTTCTTAAAGGGAAGCAGGGTTATAAGAGTAGATGTTTTGAACTGCTGTGGCTCTATAAGCAGTTTTACAGGATTTGAGAGTGAAGTGTGTTAGAAACAGTTTCAAAGACTTTACTGAAGAGGAAATACAAGAATGAAGTAGTGGCTTGTGGATCCTGCTTTGTGTTCTGGCTGGGTTGGTGCTCTCTGTTTTGTTTTATTGTTCCGATACAGTTTAATAAACTTCTTTTAAATGTCCATTTTGGTTGAGTGGTTTCCTAGAGACAAAACGATCATACACCGCGATCTCTAGGTCTAACCCAACTTCCTGTTAGGTAGGGACTTTTCTGAAGTGTTTGAGTCTTCACCCTGAGATTCCTCCTTAGAGACTACTCTCTCCGATGCCTAGTTTTTAATTTTCTGTATCGCATCCCATACGTTCTTTCTTAGGCGACTGCTTTGTTTTGCATTTACCTCTGTCTTCTAATCAATGATGGAAAGGTACTTCTAGTCTAAATCCAATTAACTTTATCCTGAAGTCACAAGTCTGTTCAGGCTTCTTTTTTTTGACTACTCACCACTTCTCTTTCTCTGCTTTGCCACGGTATCTCTAGATGATACAGACTAATTTAATGGATTCTCATGGGCATATATTAAAATGCCTAAATAATGAAACTAATGTGATTTTTTTCTGAGCATAAATCCTGAAAATTGAACTTATTCCTTTTACATGCATAGAAAGAATTTTGCCTTCACAAGGCAGAATTGGGAGGGAGAGTTAGTTCTCTGCTGTATGTAAGATGAAATAGCTGTGGACAGCAGAGAAGTTGTTCATAAGGACCCCTGCCATTTCCCTTCTATGGTGAGGGACATTGATTTGCATGAAACAGCTCTGAGATGCTTGTAAGATATGTAGATGCTGTAGATTAACGCCTCCACATATAGCTATTTTTTGTGCTTGTTTTCAGTTGGGAATGATTGTTAATGGGTTTTTTGTTTCATTTCTAAGCATTCTCATTTTTTCTGTGATTTCTTTGAGCTGTTCCCAAGTACACAGCTCTTCCGTAAATGTTCCCAAATAGCTTCTTCCTTATGTTATTTTCTGAGCATCTAATTGCAGAGCTTTTGTGTTTCGAATATCTGCCTCATGCATGTAGGTGGAAGATTGCTTTTTCACAACAGGAATATGCATGGTAAAACCTGCATTCATTTGACATTTCAACTGCTGTACTTTATGTACAGCTTCCGACCCATATATGCACCAAGTCTCATAGTGTGTTTCAGTCTCTCTTGTTCTCTCTCTTGATTGTTATATTTGTACATTCTGAGTCACCTCAATGTTTAGTGGTCACAACTTCATCTATAGGAATGCCATTTTGGGGCCTTCCACTGATGAAGCCAACACTGCAGAGACATCCCTAATTGTAGTTCTTGCTGGTGTGTTCAAGGAGTCGAAGCTTTAGACATTGATAATTGCTGCAGGGTCTGTAAGTTGAGAAGTATGGACTTGTGGGCTAATACTGCAGTATGGGAACTAGGTACACTTGACTCTGCTCTTTTCTGTGATTAATGTGTTTGCTGCATGAAGTCAGTGTTTTGGGACTTTGGTAAAGCAAAGGGAGAAACACCAACCAAAAAGCAACTCAAAAAGTATATAGAACACAAGAAAGTGTTTCAGTTTACTCTGAATACATGGGCTTTCTGTACGCCCTGTGAAGTGGCTATATGGATCAGTTGCACACATAGTTGTCACCTTTTCTTGTTACTGGTTGTAACACAGGCATTTGCCAGAGACATTAAATGATCTGTTGTCCTTCTAGTACCTTACCCACATGAAAGGAATTTGTGGTCCTTGCTTAGTACCCAGCAAGACAGGTCTCTGCAATACAGAAATTGGCATTGCAGTGATGATCATTGGAAAGTATGGGAATGGATTTAATTTTTCCTTCTGGTGATCCCTCTAAAGCCACGTAGAGCTGTACTGGTGGCTTGTATGTCAGCTCTGGAAATCTGTGAACAGAGCTATGAGCACTTGTTATCTTAGTGCTAATCGCTTCCTCAGAGTGGGTGGGGTAATATATATATTTCACAGCACTGCCTAGATCTCCCTATGCTTTGAGTTCTTTCTGCAGGATTTGTGGCATGTTGAGGTCCTTCAAAGGGTATCGCTGCAGAGCTGCATGACCCCAAGCAGTTCCTCCAGTACAGTGCAGCAGCGTGTTCTTAAGCTCTTTCCTGTTGCACTCCTATTTTTACTCATTAGGGTTCTGAATATTTCAGGCCTCCAATTCTTGTTTTTTCTTGTTCAAACACTTCTCCCAGACACTGCCATTTCCCAACCTGTGATTCCATTCAAAACCATTCCATAATCTAGGTCACAATTTTGGAATGATGATATTCCCTAAGCATTGTTCTGCAGCACAGAAATGTGGTGCAGTTCAAAGCAAAGCAGCCTTTTGCCTCAAGGTTGTTACAAGGTGGTTCTCAAACCCCTGTGAGTATGCGAGGATTTGAGAAATGCCCTGCTTTCCCTATGTAAATATACATTATAAAAAAATTAACTATTTATTGCTTGTAGCACACACCATTAAAAATGAAACAGTGTGTTGTATCTGGCCACAAATGACCGCTTCATGCCTCAGAAAAACTTGTGCTAAATTTATCTGTTATGAGCAGTGTGTGTGTATAATCTTGACATCTACACCACAGGGTTTTTTGAGTGTTAGAGGCATTCCAGCTGTTCTCATTGATAGATGACCCAGTGAAATGTATACTGTGTCTGTATCACAATATAAACAGGAAGCTTTTACCTACAGTATTGTTGTGAGACTGTTAAAAACAGGTGGTAAGAAAAGCTGCTAAAGGAAAACCATGACTGGTCTTACAAGCTGTAGGTGACAATTTTTAAGTCAGCAGTTACTTTCCTCTGAGGGAGTCTCTCATCTCTCTGTGTCCATCCTCAAGATGAGTTCAGACCTAAGTGCACTATCTTTGCCACCTTAAATCTTAATCTGTGTTTCTCAGCAAAAGTCTTCCTCTTATAGCCTGCGGAATGTAGATAAGTGCATCACGTTACCTTGGGGCAAAAGTTCCCTTCTTTTTAAACCTTATGCTTTTGACCCCGTCTCTTCCTATGGGACTTAGACTACCAGTTTTGTGGTGAGACTTTGGGTGCCTGTATTTCTTCTGAGAGATCTGAGACAGGCTTTCTTTGTAGACTTGTGCTGTTTACTCGTAATTAATCTCCTTGCTTTCACCTTGAAGTGATGGAGAGACCCACCACTCTGTTTGTCAGAATTTGTTTGGATCCCTTTGAAAGTTGGAAGAGCTCCTCTCCACCCTGGAGAGACACAGCAGTTCCTTTCAGGATTCCCCCTGTATCTAGAAGATTTTGGTTACAGTTTGATTAGAGAAATCAGACTTCTGTTAAAAACATATGAGAAAACAGCAAGAATACTGCAAGAAGCAACTTCGGATATACTGATTCTTAAGATGACTGATGAGCTCCCATGTCTGTCTTCCATTTCTACAGATAACCACTCTGCACCTCCAGATGTAACCACTGGCCTGTTGGAACATTTATATTACGAGCGTCCGCAGGTAGCATCAGTACGAGGAGTTCCCAGAGGCTACAACAGCAGCATTTTGGAAACTGCAGATGGTGATTGTATTACAGATTTCCTACATTTCAATCTGTGTTCCTTTTTCTGAATAAGCAAATGCATGACTGACACCCATCGTGTGCTATGTGCCTGCCCCCTCCAAAGCTTTGGAGTAGTATGGTGTATCTGTCAGTCTACCACAGGAGAGGAAACTGTACTGCATTTCCTGTGTTCTGTTGGTGGGAGCCATGTCCCCATTTCTGTATATTTCTATAGTAAAAGGCAATGTAAGCCCTTTAGTCTCACATTTTAATTTTATATTGCCTCAGAGGTTTAAACTTCAATAAATATAAACATACACATGTATATTTAATTTTAAATAAATATATCACATATACAAATGAAAATCAGCATTTGACATGGTTTTGTGTTGTGATTATTTTTTGCTAGCCCTGTAAAATATTGAAAGATTCACTTATTTTTTCCAAGCATTCTCAGACTTTCAGAACTGAATAAATGTTAAGATGTAGCAAATACCTAGACTCTTGAAGAAAAGAATATTCTTCAGGTTTGTATTGGAATCTCATGAAGGAGTCAGCAGTTTGAAAAGCTAAATTGAAGTGTGAGAAGGTATATGCATGAACCAGGTAGCTAGTGAGCAGCATTGTTTTAAAACAAATAAATCCGCGGTTGAAATTGTTACTGATTAAAGCTGATTTTTTCCAAGCAAGCTGTTCATCTTGAATGACTCTTCCACCTGAAAGCTGTGCTGAGCTTACAGTGATGTTGTGAGCAATGTGGCAGCATGTGTTTTAGTATATGTTTATTAATATATGGTAAGTAATAAATCTTTTCTGTTTTGCAGGTGTACCAGTCAATAGCAGAGTGTCCTCTAAAATCCAGCAGCTTCTAAATACCTTGAAAAGACCTAAGCGCCCACCATTGAAAGAGTTTTTTGTTGATGATTTTGAAGAACTGCTAGAAGGTTTATTTTCTTTCAAATGCATTTTTCACTCTGTGTAAGCGGTTCATGAAAGAATTGATATGTCTTAGCAAGTGTTTTCTTTTTCTCTTCCCAATAGAAAACAAATCATGGTGGAGTTGTTTCATTGGAGAGAGAAAGGTCATATGCTATCACAAGTGAAACATAATCTTCAACTCAACCCTCCTGCTCAGTGTACTTTGTTCCCTGCCCTCCTCCCTCTGTTTGGAAACTCTTCAGATTCAGCCCAGTTTGGACCAGTGTGATGAGCTAGTGAATACTAAAGACAGTGATTTACAGACATTTGGAGAAATTCTATTCACATCTTTGTTGAGAACTTCATTGGTGCATCCAGAAATTGTCATGTTTGGTGATGGTCCCACCATCACTTTTTGCCTCAGAGATTCTAAATTCTGCCTTGTGGTAATGAGCGAAATATAGAGGGTACACTTTGGAGTAAGTCAGGGCATAGCCTAAGTGTAACTGATGGTGCAGTGGACCTCTGGAAACCTCTGACCAGCCTCCTGTTCAGAGCAGTTCTGACTAGATCACGCTGCTCAGGGCCATGGCCAGTCCAGTTGTGAGCATCTCCGAACATGGAGATTCCACGGCCTCTCTGGCCACTCACATTCAGCTGCTTGTCTACAAGAACCCCCGCATCCTGCTCTGAAAAGCTGCTTTGTAGCTGGTCAGTGCCCAAATATAGTTAGATGAAAAAAGTTACTAGTAACTGGAATTTATTATGATAATATTGTTTGCATGCATGTTAATATGCTTTTCTTGAAAGCCAGAATCTTTCATTATTTTAGAGGTTCAGAGGAATTAAACGCATAGAGTGCACAGTGCAGTATGTTCTGTCTGTGCACTACATGAAAGGACAGTGCTTGTACGTGCTCTGCAGATATTGTTCAGCTAAAAACCACTATTTTCTTCTCTGTATCCATGTGTCCAGGCAGAAAGAAAAGCATCTCTAACAAACGTAGAAGTTGTAGCAATATGTAGCTGCCTTTAAAACCAGCTGCATCAGCTAATTTTGGAGAACAATTTTTGTTCTGTTCTCTTAGTTTTTAAAGATTAATGAAAATTTTGTTCTCTTTGACAGTTTTGAGCAGCTGCTACTAGATTCCCTGTACTATTTGTTCGATACTTTAAGATATGAAGTGATTGCAGTTCTAGTCTTTTGCTAAAGATTTTTCAGGCAAACTTTTGTTGAGGTGCACGTATGTCATTGTGGAGAGCAGAGAGCATTGCTTTGAACTGTTAATTTTAGTTACTGCATAGATTGAATGTTAGCTAAATCCAACTGACTTTGTTTTGCTAAGATCAAGATACTTCACCTTCTTGAGCAGCTTGGGGCAAGATTTTAACAGCAGGCTACTCAGAGAGCAAATGGCATACAAGCCCTGCAGTGTTCCACAGTTGAGAGAGATGATCTGGAAATCAAACAAAATATTCTGTGAGCGGTACGGTTTTAGTTGTAGATAATCCATACCAGGAGCATTTTACCTGGCTTTTTTTTTATGTATTGTTACAGAAGCATAGTGTCATTCTTCATCTCCTGTTGAGCATCTGGTGCAGCAAAAATAAATGTCCAGTTGTCACTGAAGCCGTTCTCTGTGATAAAGCTTGTTGACTTGGTGTAGGCTTTCATTTAAATAGATGTGCAGAACAAACAGCAGAAAATATCATCTTTACAAAGCAGAGAAAAAAGAGTGAACTAGGGATTCAAATTCTGTTCCTGTGGCCAGGTCCTTTGAATAATGTGGAATCAGAACTCCAAAGTGATGGTAATTATTTTTTGTGAAGCCAACAGATGATTAGCATAGCATCATCATAAAGCAGAGGAGAAGTAATGATAGCTGTGAGGCAGAGGAAGGTGAGAACAGTTCGTAGAATAGTCTATTAAATGTAACTTGCACATTTTGTAAGGATTAACATTTGCCATTTTACTGTGCTCTGGTTTTAGTGCAACAGCCTGACCCCAATCAACCAAAGCCTGAAGGAAATCAAATGAATGTACTTAAAGGTGAACCCTTAGGCGTGGTAACCAACTGGCCACCTTCTCTGCTGGCTGCCCTGCAGCGCTGGGGAACTACACAGCCGAAAGCCCCTTGTCTGACAGCATTGGATACGACTGGGAAAGCTGTTTATACACTTACCTATGGTAGGCGTTGGTGATAACTGTAAGAAAGAATTAGGCTTTCATTGTGGAATGAACTAATGCTTTACTTAAGAGGGACTGACTGTGCTCATGACAGATACTTTGAGATTGCTATTCAAATGCAAATTACAAATAAATTGTATATGAAAAACATTTTAAAGAAAGTTAATGAAGGGAAAATGTATATGGTATTGATTCTTTACAAGTGGCTATTTGTAAATTTCAAACAATTGTGGGGCTTTTGCTTAAAAGAACACTAAAAATAGCCTGATGTAAAATAGGAGGAAGAAACGGGTGATTAATAATGTACTCTTCAGATTCCCAGAGTAGGTATTAAATTTTAGCATGTTCTTGCATATCCTTATAGAGAAGACGCGTACTTCAGGAGCATATTAAGGATGTTATTGTGGGAAGTGAAACTTGCCTGTATCAATGAACTAGAAGTATTACAGTAATTACATTTTTTTGGAAGATAATTGTGTTCTTCAGGACAGTTAACTGCAGCATTTTATTGTATAGTATGTTAGAATGTTGAAATTTCTTGTTTGTATTCTTACAGATGAAGTATGCTTACAGGAAATGTAACTGAGCAGCTGCATTAGTTTCATTACTTTGCAGTAGAGCTTTGAGAATTGTTTAGAATATCATGTTTAGTTTTATGTTTAAAAAAAATAAAAGAAAAACTAAAAAGAAACCAAGCACTAAATCCTACTTGGACTCTCTGCCAACTGGACTGAATGGCCAGTTCTATAAAGAACTTGCTATTTGATATGTTTTAGTCCTGTGTAATTTTTTTTTTATGTAACTGGAAATTACACAGAAGAAAACCTGTTGAATTGGAGAAGTTTGAGACTGGCAAACACAAAATAACTGATGGTTGCTATGTGATCTGAAGGGATTGAGTGTGGATGTCAGTCCCTGATAAAGACCCTGTGCTAGAAAGCTGAGTTCCAGATGCATGCTGTTTGCCACAATATGCTTTTTGGGGAGGGGTTCTTGCTTTGATTTACTGTTTACAATGGAAGGGTTTTGCTGTTGCTCAATTTTTTATAAACTTTTTTTTACAAAGCTTTTCTTTTTTTGGAGGCTACCATTTAAAAATTTGTTTTTATATTGTGTCAAATAAGTAGCTGGATTTTTGAAATTTAATAGCTTAGAATAATTTTTGTTCTGAATTATTGAGAACTGTGTAGACCACTACTGAGCACTGAATTGGCATTTCACAGAGCCAGATATTGCAGCATTTATTCCTACCCTTTGTTTCTTAAATTTCAGTTAATTTTTTGTCCAGTTTCAGATTTTTCTTTTTATCCCAAGCAGTTTGCTTTCTCTAAGAGCCCTTAGGAAGCAGTCCTGTGATGTGCCGTTTGGAAATGCAGTCAGGTTGTATCAACCAGACTACGTGTGTGTGTGTGTGCACATGCGCTGAAACACGGGAAGAACTTAGTAGGTTTGTGAGGTGGGATTGCTTTCACAACAGCAATGTTTGCTTTTCCCCAATTACTTGCTCATGTGCTTGTTGACCCTGTTCTAATACAACCGACTTGTCTAGTTTTGCTGAGATTTGCCAATTAAATATTAAAATTTTTGTCTCTATTTTTTAATTTCTGTATTGTCTTTTTTTCTTTAGGCAAGCTGTGGAGTCGAAGCTTGAAGTTAGCATATACCCTGCTAAACAAGCTAACCACTAAGAATGAACCACTGCTGAAGCCTGGAGACCGGGTAGGCTTCTGTTTGAAATGGTCTCTCTGGATAAAATAGACAGTGAAGAACAGCTTTAGCTAAAGAAAGCCTTGTAATACTGTGACTTGTAATAGTATATTATCAGGACATTTAGTATGTCCTGTTCCTAGTTTAAATATGAACCTGAACATTGTTGTGAAGATTTTTTTTTCCCACAAATTAAAAAGCAGCCTCCCCTCCCCCAGGTGAAGACAAAAAACATTTCTTGTTATTTTAATGTATTTTTGTAGGTAGCTCTCGTATTTCCTAATAGTGATCCAGTTATGTTTATGGTGGCATTTTATGGATGTCTCCTGGCGGAACTTATTCCTGTCCCTATAGAAGTTCCACTAACAAGAAAGGTAGGCATACACATTCAGCATTTTTAGGGTTTCATAAATAAATAACGTGCATGGGTGTCTAAATCCTGTAGTCCTTATATGGGACCCCTCAGAGCCTGCACTTTAGAAAACAGTATGGTGCATTGGCTGAACTACTTAAATGCACATTATATGCTTGGAAAGTGTTTAATATTTAGTTAGGGAAGGGGTGGGGGAGAATAGTATGACGCTAATAAGTTAACTATTTTAGGATACATAACTGTAGAAATTATTTTAATTCGTTATTTTTGAAAAGACGTGTGGAAGTATTTTTCAAAATGTAACACAGAAATGCTGTCTTTTCAGCTCTCATGCTGAGTAATGAGAGCACAGGCAGGTAGAGACGCCATAGTTACTGGAAATACCGGGATAATCCCACACATGTTGAGATTATTAGGGAAGAGCTGAAAAGCTACAGGCTCTCCTCTTCATTGCCTCAGGACTCAGAAACAGGATCAAACCAGCTCTCTGTTTTATGAGAACTTCTCAATGTCCCTGTTGGGTTGGAGAGGGATGCACAACCATTGCTTTTGACACTACTTCACTACCATTGCTTGCCAGATCTATTGCCAAATCTAATTTAGTTGGCACTAAGCAAAACTAAGCCTTTTGATAAGCCTTTTGAGCATAGACTTCAGTCTTTTGTCTTCCATAAAAGGTCTTATGGGCTAGAAGTTTGTGTCTTCCTGTGATATAAATTGGCTTAATATTTTCTAAATACAGAAAAGTTACAGTAAACTGTACAAAAGCTTCATTGTTTGTAAGTTTGCTATAACATGGTTTCTCTGTAGGATGCTGGCAGCCAGCAGATTGGATTTCTTTTGGGCAGCTGTGGAGTAACACTAGCTTTAACCACTGATGCCTGTCAAAAAGGCCTTCCTAAAGCTCAGACTGGCGATGTGGTTACATTCAAAGGTATGTTTTTAAGCTACTCAAACTTCTTTATAGGATAAAGAGTGGTATTATCCATTGCTGCTATCACACAACAATCTTTGAGTTGGCTTGCATGGTTCTAGCTATATATAAAGAAGAACTGCCTTCATTGTCAAGACACTATTTAGTGCTGCTTCTTCCTGTCAGGGGACTGACGCTGCAGCTTTTGCTTGCCTCTAGTTGTTACCTCTGAATACTGGGGAAAAAAACCTGATTTTTGGAACTGTAATAACAGTAACTTTTCTTTTTCTTTGAAGGCTGGCCTCGTCTCATTTGGTTTGTGATCGATGGGAAGCACCTGGCCAAACCAGCTAAGGACTGGCATCCGCAAGTACGGGATGCCAGTGCTGAGATTGCTTATATTGAGGTGATCCAGTATAATATGCCTAACTTACGGTTACTCTATTGTCATTTATGTCACAGCATATTTTCTTCCTTTAATGTCTTGATGCAATAAAAGAGATTACTATAATATTTTTAACTGTGGAACAAGAACGTTTCCCTCGAGATTGCCAGGCAAACTGTCATTTGAGTGGTTGTGCTGAGTCAGACTGAAGATTGGGGATAATTGGCATTTTGGGATCCCTGGGACAATTTGTTTCACTGGGGTAGAGAAACAGATTTCATATGCTATTAGTGTATTCTCTGAACGTAATGCATCTTTTATGGTAGCTTTTTTATTGGTTTTAAAAGTTCGCTTCCTTTTTATAATAAAATATCCTTTCAGTGAACTACTGTAAATTTTCTAGATTGTGTTGTTAATATAATGCTTGTATAAATGTTCTCTTTTCAGTACAAAACAAGTAAAGAGGGCAGTACAGTGGGCATTACTATATCTCATGCTTCCATGCTGGCACACTGTCATGCATTGACTCAGGCATGTGGTTATTCAGAAGGTAAGTTAGATAGGTATAACTTTAAAATAATACTCATAGCTTTGAATGTTCAGACAATTTATGTTGCAAAATCATGTTTACTGTCTGAAGAGAACTTGGTAGCATTAATTGCAAGGGGAAAGACAAACTTCCTCATTCATAATCAATGTGATATGTGAAAGAAAGTAAGAAGCCACTTGTGAAATCATAATCAATGTGTATTAAAATTTTTTTAACCTAAGATCCTTACCAATTTTATTCAAGGATTTGGATTTTTCAGTCTTCATAAATGTGTTAGTCAATGGTAAGAGCTATACTGATTTTTCAGCTTCTTGAAAACAGCTTTGCTACAAATCTGTTTTGTTCTCCCTGATGCCTTTTGAATGCACTGGCTACTTTATGAAGTCATAAGGGGGCCGGTTTGAGATGCCCATGTGCAGAGTCAGAGGAGCCCTCCCAGCAGAAATTGAAGGAGCTTTCTTAGACTGATTCTAGAGACCATTTGTGTATCTTGAATCTCTTTGAAGAACATGGGAAGCTGTCAGTTCCAGCTGTAGCTGCTCTAACAGTGCAGACTGGTGTGCCATGCAGACAGGCTGATGTCACTTGTGCTGCTTCTTATCGCTCAGGAGAAAGAGCTGCAGTTACTGACCCTTTTGAAGTCTTGCCCTGAAACCCAGTAATGACTAGGTGAGATGTAGTATGCATCGTAGTTCTTATAAATCTTCTACTTTGTGATTCCTAGGAGTGTGATGCTTGACCCCTGAAAGAGAGGCTTGATCAAGAAAGTTTGAGAGTTAGCATACTAAAAAACACCCGACTTGCTTGGCTTTACTGCTCTTGCACCTTGGATCACCTTGCCTGACTGGATCACAAAATTAAAAGTCCTAGTGCAAGTTGTCTGGCCCAGTTACCTGAATTAGGTCTGTGATTCTAGAAAGCATATTTGAGGGCATAAGCAGATTGCTAACAGTTGCTAACTGTCCTCTCTTGCGCTTATTTTTTTTTTCCTTCCTGCTTTGGGCAATTAGTTTACACCTGTAGTGCTCCAAAGTCCACACAAGTAGTATGATAGGGTAAAAGAGGTTTTCACAGTCAGATATCTGTACTCTTTTTAGTTACCATCAGAGGACCCTTTCACATTTTCATTTGGGACATCCCATCACAGCTGCCAACTACAAGAACTGTTCTGGGAGAGGGGTGGGTCCACCAAGCTTGTAGGTAAAGCATTGTACAGCAGTTCCTGAATCCTGAAAGGATGATGGCAACCAATTATGGATCGAAGGGGTCTACACATCTTGGTTTTCAGACAAACATGGAGTAGTGTTGCTAGCCATTAACATTTCAGATCTTTACAGAGGGACTGAATTCTCTTGTCCTCTTGTATGTTCATTTTTCAGATTTCTATTGCCACATGCTAGAGATGCTGTCATGAGGTTTCTGTTCTGTGCAGACCATACCCACTATAAAGCTTTGCCTTGTTTTGTTTACAGCTTCTTGTAGCTTCACAATTTTGGCCACAGTAGTTCCTATTTTCAGAAAGGAAGGGATCTTCATGTTAGTTAATCATGTCCTACAAAAGAAAATCTCCATAGGGATTTCAATAAAGTGAGAGATCTACTTGTTTTCAGTCATTCTCTCAATGAATAGCCAAGAACTGCACCTGGTGTTGACCGTGTCCATAGAGTTCATCTGCGCTACCATTAACCAAAAACTTTGCCCTTTGATATCTGTTTGCTGGAAGAATCTCATGCTTTGACTAATTTTTATCCCACAATGGGGTAGTGTGTGCTAATGTATCTTGGGACATGCAGAATCACAGAATGGTTGATATTGGAAGGGACCTCTGGAGGTCATCTGGTCCAACCCCTCAGCTCAAGCAGGGCCACTTAGAGCCAGTTATCCAGGACCATGTCCAGATGGCTTTTCAATATCTCCAAGGATGGAAACTTCACGACCTCTCTGGGCAACCCGTTCCAGTGCTCAGTCACCCCCGCATAAAGTCCTTCCAGATGCTCCAGTCCCAAGTCATCCTTGTGGTTCTTCACTGGACTCACTTCAGTAGCGCCATCTCTCTCTTGTACTGGGGAGCCCAGAAATGGACACAGTATTCAGTTGTGGCCTAACCAGTGCTGAGCCAGAGGGGAAGGATCACCTCCATGGACCGGCGGGCAACACTCCTCCTAATGCAGCCCAGTACACCATTAGCCTTCTTTGCCACAAGGGCACACTGCTGGCTCGTGTTCAGCTTGGTGGCTACCATGAACCCCAGGGCGCTTTCTGCAAAGCTGCTCTCCAGATGGTTGGCTCCCAGCATGTCCTGGTGCATGGGGCTATTCCTCTCCCAGGAGCAGGACTTTGCGTTTCTCCTTGTTGAACTTCATGAGGTTCCTGTCAGACCATTCCCTCAGCCCGTCAAGGTCCCTCTGGATGGTAGCACAACCCACTGGCCTATCAGCCATTTCTCCCAGCTTTGTGTCATCTGCAAACTTGCTGAGGATACGCTCTGCCCCATCATCCAGATTATTAATGAAGATGCTGAAGAGAACTGGAGCCAATATTGAGCCCTGGGCTACACAGCTAGTTACTGGCCTCCAACTAGACTTTGTGCCACCAGTCACTACCCTCTGGGCCTGGTCGTTCAGTTAGTTTTCAGTCCACTTCCCTGTCTGCTCATCCAGCCCATACTTCATCAGCTTCTCTGTGAGGATCATACAGACTGTCATAGAATGCTGTGAAACTGCTGGCTGCTTTCTCCATCAAATCCAGTTCTATGCAATTCACTTTTCCTGAAGGTTGAAAAGAACTTGAGGGTATGGAAGATTTGTATTTCCTTATATACAGGCTCATGTCTGGGACTCCGCATCTGTCTCGGAGCGATTGGAGCTCTCAGTCAAGCAGAGAATGAGTGGATATGTGGCTGACTTACTGAAGTATTTTATTTATTGGGAAATAGCTGTGTACATTCTGAAAACTTAAAAAGAATAATAAATACCCTGAAGAAGAATTTCTTGTCATGCAGCCATCCTACATCAGTGATAAGCAAGTTTCACCTGGTCAATATAGGATAGACCTCTAAAATTAAGTTAAATCTTTGATTTAAAATCTTTGATTCTAGTTTTTTAAATCATGTAAGGTGTTCAGATTTCTCAGAGAAAACACTGAAGAAAATTTAGTATAGCCATGGTAATATTTCTCAGTAAATTGAATTCTTTCAAACATAGCTGAACTAAAGTTTCAGTCTGCATAGTTCATTGACAAATGTAACAAAGACATGGAAGTGGTATTATAATGGAAACAGGGACTTAATACCTTGTAATAATCTAGTCTATAATCATAATTTAAAGATGATTGTTTTAAGTAAAATAAGACACTTTCAGCTTAAGGAGCCTGTTATAGACAAGAAGGCATGGTAACATAGCTTTGATTTCTTAGGAGTGTTGTAAGTTTCAGAATTGCTTTAACAAATATTTTGAGTTCTTATGTATTCTCTTAGATATGCTTCTTAAGTCTGATAGTTTTTCCTTCACTTTCAGCTGAAATACTAACAAATGTGTTGGATTTCAAGAGAGATGCTGGCCTTTGGCATGGAGTATTAACAGTGAGTATTTGAATGAATGAAAAAAACTGCAGCAAGTTGCTTCTCTCAGGGGTAGAGTACTGGTATCTGAATGAGGTCAAACCCTCTCAAACTGTTTATATTTCAGTATTTGTATTTTTCAGAATAAAGTGTTTCTTTTCCAGTAACAGACTGCACAGGCATAGCTTTTGTTTTTACTGATTATACGTATAGTTTTCACTAACACGTGTAAGTGTTATGCTGTAGCTGTGATGATTTTTTTTTTAAGTATTGGTACATGCTGTGTATTCTTTGAGACACTCAAGTTTATTTTTTAATATTTTTCTCAGAGTGTTATGAATAGGATGCATGTCATCAGTATTCCCTATGCATTAATGAAGGTTAATCCGCTTTCCTGGATACAGAAGGTCTGCTCATACAAAGGTAACCTTGAAGTATTTTTACGTACCCCATCTCTTCTTGGATGATTAAAAAAAAAAAAAGAAAGAAATTTGTTTGTATAAAATGTCTGCTGTAGCTCAGGCCACTTGTGTTTTATCTAGCTGACTTTCTTTGCCATAGTTTTAGCAATTGGGTACTCCATTTCAGTGTTACATGTACTGGTAGATGCATTGATGAGTGACATTGATGGCTGCTTCTGACAGACCTTTAAAGAAACTGTGTTTCTCATCTCAGTATTTGAATTTATAGTAAACATTTAAAGTCTATAATCAAGTCCATCTGGAGACATTGAGTATAAACGTGTGATAGTAGTTAAATATTTGGCATTTGTATTTCTTTTCTATGCTTGTAATTTGTTTCATAAATTTACATAAATACACAAAAATATTTATATAATTTTAGAATTGGTCTTTATTTTGTTCTGCACATGCACCATAATTACTTTTTTTTATTTTCAGCCCGTGTAGCAGTAGTAAAATCACGTGATATGCACTGGTCACTTTTGGCTCAGAGGGATCAGAGGGATGTCAGTCTGAGCTCTTTACGAATGTTAATAGTGGCAGATGGAGCTAATCCATGTGAGTATGGATGCATTTTCTGAGTGTCAGTCCAAGGTGACCTAAAGCACACTGTAAATCACAGAACTCTGGGTCTGCAATGTAGGAGCTCAGCAGCACTGGCTATAGTTCATCTTCAGCAAAACAGAGACAGCAGCAGTGTTTCTTTGTCAAGGACACTGGAGCAAAACTTTCATAGAAAATGTTCTGAAGGATATATTCTTTATATAAAGAATAGTTGGCAATGTAATTTGAAAGAGGCTTTTAAAATTTCAAGTAAATCATAATGCCAGTTTCAAAGTAGTTGCTCATGTATTGCATGTAGACATAAAATCTTTTGAGTTGCAGTGTGTCTGATTCTGTACATGCCCCTAGGGCTTGTCTCAATCATGTGCAAGGACATAAAAATGGGAGCAGTCACAGCCTTAACTCAAAACCATGACAACTATTAAATAGAGTATGCGGTAGGTTCTTGCCTTTTTCTGTCAATCATATGGTGGTGGTTTACAGTAATTTGAGAAAGCAGCTGGGAGGGTTGTTTTTGTAACAGGCAAGGCTTAATTTTGCTGTTCTCATACACCAGAAAATCAATAGTATTTCAGATTCCTTGGAGTTGCATGATGAGAGGTCAGCAAGTCATGATGGTGCAAGATGAAAGTTTGAAATGGTCTTGCTAGGATTATATTTTGTTGTAAGCACTGTTTCAGAGCTGATGCTTAGAAAGTTAGGGATTTTGTTCTATAGTAAAATACTATTTGTATGCTAGTGATGCCACTGCTTTTTCATTGATATTTGCACTTCTTAGCTATGTTTAGCTGTGTAAATTAATTTCTTTAACTTCATCTTTTCATCAGTACTGTACTCTTATATTAAATGACATGAAATTATACCTAGGATGTATAATCAATGAAGTTTGATGGTTTACATTATGTGCTGCAATTCCACAACTGTAAATACAATGCTGTAGGTGATGATCTTGCATTTTGGGCTGAGTGCTAAAGGCCAGGTAGAGTTCTGAACGGAAGTGAAGATATGTCAGAAACATTTGATGTTAATTTCTAAATGCTTTGGTTCTGTGAACTCTATAAGAAACACTCATCTAGGAGCTGTATAGGAAGCTGACAGATATGGTTACCCTGAGTGACAAAATATTCTGATCACTGAAGGACTTTCCATGATGTTAAGTGTGCTGCCAGACACAGAGAGTATGCAGTTGTGAATTTCATTCAGTGAATCAGTTGTTAACCACTGGGAGTTTTTTCTCCAAATCTAAAATCTAATAATAGGCTGGAGCATCTTTTAGGCAGTTGGAAAGTATATTGGTTTTGTGCATAGATGCAACCATATTTGTATACCTGAGCTGAGAGTAAGCATAGACTTTAAAATCCTGCAGCTCGAACTTTCCTGCCCTTGGCAAAACGTTTCCAATTGTGTGATTGTTCTTTTTAGGGTCGATATCTTCCTGTGATGCGTTCCTGAATGTATTTCAGTCCAGAGGTTTGAGACCAGAAGTAATCTGTCCCTGTGCTAGTTCCTCAGAGGCACTAACTGTTGCTATTCGCAGGTAATTCTCTCTTCTGAGAAGTGAACTGAAGCATTTCTTGACTATTGAAATGTATCTGGTGTTAAAATGGTAGTCAGAAATGATGATTACCCACCTAAAGATGCCCAAACACCTAGACAGAGGAAGTTCGAGGCTCGCAGGTATCTCCTTCACTGAAGGATGGGTGATTTTTTGTTTGGTTTGGGTTTGTTTTTTTTTTTTTTTTTTTTTTTTTACTGCTTGGGAAAGCAAGGTCTCATCCTCACTGATGTTGCTAGAGGACCTTTATAAAATGCCCCCAAAATCAAGACTATTACTTACTTGGGAGGAAGAAGATGCTAAATATTCAAATAATTGCTTGTATTCAAGTAATTCAAGTAATGTCTTGTAAATGGGGGGCTAAAGAAAGAAAAAAAATTATTTGTAACTGGCCTAAAAAATACCATTGAATTTCTGGAGATAGCAAGGCATGCTCTGAAAAAAGGAAATACTTTGATTGTGAATAGACATATGGATGGCGTATGCTGGAATTTTTTGACAGTGGTTTTAATCAAAATGTGTTTTTTCAGAAAATCAATTTCAAGAAAACTTGAAACAAAAAAGTTTGGGATTTTGGAAAGTACTTCTCTGGTGGGGGAACTGACATCTCCCAACTTAAAAAAAAAGTACTTAAAGAACTGTTTTTTTACAGAAGCACCTGGAATCTTTTGTTCTGTTCCATCCTGAAAGTTGAACAGTTAAACAGAATGGAGTTGTTGGTCCTCAATCAATTATGCTCAGAGTAAGAAGTGTCCAGCCCTCCAAACACTTCCTAATGTTTCCTGGTGTTTAGAAAATTTAGCCCTTGAATGCTGATTCTTGACGCTTCTTTGCCCATAATAAAACTAAATCCTCTCTGTAACATTTTAGGGTGGGAGGAAGCTATGTGTTGTTTTGTTCTAGCTCTTTTTTCATCTAGTTGAAATATATTACCAGTCTTGAACTCTTGTTTGTTTAAAATGAGAAACCATTATTTCTCTTAACTTTAACAAGCCTGAGAGACTTGCACAATGTTTTTGAAGACCATATCACCATTGGTCTGTTGATTCATATCTGATTTGACTTTCTGTTTTCCAGACCTCCAGAATTGGGGGGGCCTCCTCCAGGAAAAGCAGTGTTATCTATGAATTGTCTGAGTTTCGGCGTAATAAGAGTGGATACAGAAGAGAAGTTGTCAGTGTTAACTGTACAGGATGTTGGTCAGATTATGCCTGGAGGTAGGAAAGCATTTCATGTAGGCTAAGCATACTCCACATTATTACCTTCACTATTATACTTGTGCTGATGAAATAAATAAAAATGTCAAATGATAAATACCTTCGAGGTTGTATGACTTACGTTTTGATGCATTACCTAAACAACGAATGATTAAGTACTGTCTCAACTAGATTATTCAATATTTTCAGTGGAGTTTAATCGATGATAAATTTGAATGACCGTAGGTTTTGGTATGGGCAGATGCTTTTGGCTGGTCTGCAGAGTTGTGTTACTGTTGACTTGTTAGTATTAGTGCTGACTGACATATAACTATGTAATAACAAATATAGCAGAACAAAACAAAGCGTAAGTGTAGTAAGAAATACTTCATCCGGGACTGATAGTCCACGTGTTAGAATAAAATAGTATAGAATCTTTCAGTTGGAAGGGACTTAAAACAATCATGTAGTCCAACTGCCTGACTTCTTCAGGGCCAACCAAAGGTTAAAGCATGTTATTAAGGGCATTGTCCAAAAGCCTCTTAAACACTGACAGGCTTGGGGCATTGACCACCTCTCTAGGAAGCCCGTTCCAGGGTTTGACCACCCTCTCAGTAAAGAAATGCTTCCTAATGTCCATCTAAACCTCCCCTGGTGCAGCTTTGAACCATTCCCATGTGTCCTGTCCCTGGATCCCAGGGAGAAGAGATCAACACCTCCCTTTCCACTCCTCCTCCTCAGGAAGCTGTAGAGAGCAATGAGGTCGCCCCTCAGCCTCCTTTTCTCCAAACTAGACAACCCAGAGTCCTCAGCCACTCCTCACAGGACATGCCTTCCAGCTCTGTCACCAGCTTTGTTGCCCTCCCCTGGATGCATTCACGTACCTGGGATCACAGAGATGTGGGATACAGTCTCTTTAGGAAGGACAGGAGAGAACAGGTTTTTTTATGTGAAGGAACAGTTGGAATGTATGGAGCTTACCTGAAGATGGATGAGGAGTCAACTGAGAGCGTGTAGGTAAGGATTAAAGAGCAGCCCAGTATGGGTGATATGGTAGTGGGTGTCTGCTATAGACTGCCTGACAAGGAAGAACAAGTGCATGAGCCCTTCTGCAGACAGCTAGAAGCAGCCTCATGTTTGTAGGCCCTGGTCCTTATGGGAGACTTCAGCCACCTTGATGTGTGCTGGAGGGACAACATGACAGGGCACAAGCAATCCAGGAGGTTCCTGGAGAGTGTCAATGACAAATTCCTGACCCAAGTGATAGAGGAGCCAATGAGGAGAGGGTCTTTGCTGGACCTTATACTCACAAATGAGGAGGCACTTGTTGGGATGTGAAAGTCGAAGGCTACAGTGACCATGAGATAGTAGAGTTCAAGATCCTGAGAGGATGGAGCAGGGCGAAAGCAAGATCGCAACACTGCACTTCAGGAGAGCAAACTTCAGCCTCTTTAGGGATCTGCTTGGTAGAGTCCCATGGGATAAGGCCCTGGAGGGGAGAGGGGACCAAGAAAGCTGGTTAATATTCAAGGATCACCTCCTCCAAGATCAAGAGCAGTCCATCCCAAAGAGCTGGAAGTTGGGAAAAAATGTCAGGAGTCCGGCAGAGATGAACAAGGAGCTCGTGACAGAAATCATACGTAATAAATAAGTGTACAGAAGGGGGAAGCAGGAGCAAGTAACCTGAAAGGAATACAGAGACACTGTCTGAGCATGCAGAGATGAGGTAAGGAAAGCCAAAGCCCAGCTGAAGTTGAATTAGGGGAGGGATGTTAAAGGCAACAAGAAGGGCTTCTGTGACGAAAGGAAGATCAGGGAAAATGTGGGCCTGCTGCTGAAGGAGGCAGAGGACCCAGTGACACAGGACATGGAAAAGGCTGAGATACTGAATGCCTTCTTCACCTCAGTCTTTACCATACAGACTGGCTTTCAGAAATCCCAGGCCCTGGAGATATGGGGGAAAATCTGGAGCAGGGAAGACATACCCTTGGTAGAAGAGGTGAAATTAAGGAATACTTAAGCAAACTGCACATGCACAAGTCCATGGGCCCTGATAAGATTCATCCATGAGTGCTGAGGGAGCTGTTTGATGTCATTGTGAGGCCACTCTCAACAATCTTTCAATGACCATGGCAACTGGGAGAAGTGCCTGAGGGGTCAAGGAAAGCAAATGTCACTCCTGTCTCCAAGAAGGACAACCCAGGGAACTACAAGGCTCATCAGCCTCACCTCAAACCCTGCGAAGGTGAGGGAACAATTAATTCTGGAAACCATTTTCTCAGGCACATGGAGAACAAAAAATTCATCGGGAGTAGTCAGCATGGATTCACCAAGGAGAAGTCATGCTTGACCAACGTGATCGCCTTCTACGATGAAGTGACTGGCTTGGTAGATGAGGGGACACCAGTGGACATTGTCTACCTTGACTTTGGTTGGGTTTTGGACACTATCTCCTGTATGATCCTCACAGAGAAGCTGATGAAGTATGGGCTGGATGAGCAGACAGGGAAGTGGACTGAAAACTAACTGAACGACCAGGCCCAGAGGGTAGTGACTGGTGGCACAAAGTCTAGTTGGAGGCCAGTAACTAGCTGTGTAGCCCAGGGCTCAATATTGGCTCCAGTTCTCTTCAGCATCTTCATTAATAATCTGGATGATGGGGCAGAGCGTATCCTCAGCAAGTTTGCAGATGACACAAAGCTGGGAGAAATGGCTGATAGGCCAGTGGGTTGTGCTACCATCCAGAGGGACCTTGACGGGCTGAGGGAATGGTCTGACAGGAACCTCATGAAGTTCAACAAGGAGAAACGCAAAGTCCTGCTCCTGGGAGAGGAATAGCCCCATGCACCAGGACATGCTGGGAGCCAACCATCTGGAGAGCAGCTTTGCAGAAAGCGCCCTGGGGTTCATGGTAGCCACCAAGCTGAACACGAGCCAGCAGTGTGCCCTTGTGGCAAAGAAGGCTAATGGTGTACTGGGCTGCATTAGGAGGAGTGTTGCCCGCCGGTCCATGGAGGTGATCCTTCCCCTCTGGCTCAGCACTGGTTAGGCCACAACTGAATACTGTGTCCATTTCTGGGCTCCCCAGTACAAGACCCAGTTTGTAAGTGTGGTGGTTTGACCCTGGCTGTATGCCAAGTGCCCACCAAAGCTGCTCTATCACTCCCCTTCTCAACTGGACAGGGGAGGGAAAATATAACGAAAAAAGCTCGTGGGTCGAGATAAGGACAGGGCAAGATCACTCAGCAATTACCATCACGGGCAAAACAGACTTGA